TTTCTTATGTTCTTATGTTCTTATGTTTTCTTTCCATCTCTCTCTCTCCCTCTCTCTCTCTTCCCTCCTTCTCCTTTGTCCCCCCCCCCCTCTCCTTCTTTTGAGGAAGTAAATAAAAATATAAAATAAAAAATAAATAAATAAATAATAATTAAAAAAAATAAAAAAAAATAAATAAAAATAAAAAAATAGATACAGTCCCCCGCAGAGGGGGGGTGGAGGAGGGAATATAAAAAAAAAAAGATACAGTAATATAAATAGTGGGGTGCTGAGAGGCTCTGTGGGTTAGGACTGATCAGAAGATGAGCAGTTCAGATCATTCAGCAGAGTGATTTCCCTATTGGCACAAGGCCCTTAACCCCAATTGCTCCAGGGTTTGCATGCAGTGATTTTCTCAGTTGTACAGTACCAGTCAAAAGTTTGGACACATCTACCCATAGAAAGGTTTATTTGTGCTATTCTCAACATGTTATAAAGACATCAAAACTATAAAATAACATGTATGTAATTATGCACTGACCAAAAAAAATGTTGCTTGGGGAGGGGGCAGCTCTGGGGGTGGGAACTCACAAAGTTGCCGGTTTAACCCCTGGGTCGGCAGAGTGGTCCCACCAAAGGGGCCTTGAGCAAGGCCATTAACCCTTCTCTTTGCATCAGTGTAATGAGGTGGGATACCTCCTGGGATGCCTTTCTAGCTGTCCTGAAGGTGTTCCCACATATCTGAGCCCTCACTGGCTGCTTTTCCTTCACTCTCTGGTCAAACTCTTCCAAAAACTTTTCTACTGTAAGGACAGGTGCCAGGCATTTCTAAACTTGACTGGTACTGTACATTGCTTTGGATGAAAGTGTCTGCTGAATAAAAATAAATGTAAATATAATTCTCATTTGTTGCCTGTAGGTGCTTACTCATTCAATAATTCAGTTTTCAGTTAGAGTTGTTTTAATTAGATAGTGCTTCTAAAAAAAGAAACTTCAAACTTCATCTTACAATTGTTTTTACATTTAACCACTCATACAGCTAATCCAGCTAAGGTTTGACTGAACACTTAGTGGTTGTTGGTTTTCCTCCCTGGGCAGTGGGTCCGCGAGGAATCCCCCGACGTGCTGTGCTTGCAGGAGACCAAGTGTTCAGAGAAGGCCCTTCCTCAAGACATCACCTCCATGCCTGAGTTCCCCCATAAGTACTGGGCTGGTTCTGAGGATAAGGAGGGCTACAGTGGGGTGGCCATGCTTTGCAAAACCAAGCCCCTAAACGTCACCTTTGGCATTGGTGAATACTTGACACCATTTTTCTTGCTTTTGTATCATTTCTAGTACTGTACATCATTATCTCAAAGTTCTCTTTGCCGAGTCCTCACTTCCCTCCCTGTCCTACTGCAGGCAAAGAAGAGCATGACAAGGAAGGGAGGGTGATTACTGCGGAGTTCCCCACCTTCTACCTGGTCACGGCCTATGTGCCGAACGCTGGCAGGGGCCTTGTGCGACTTGACTACCGCAAGACCTGGGATGTGGACTTCCGGGCCTACCTGAGCGGGCTGGATGAGAAAAAACCCCTGGTCCTCTGTGGTGACCTGAACGTGGCTCACCAGGAGATCGACCTGAAGAACCCCAAGGGTAACCGAAAGAATGCTGGGTTCACCGCTGAAGAGCGTGAGGGGTTCACTCAGCTGCTGTCCGCCGGCTTTGTTGACAGCTTCCGGGAGCTGTACCCAGAGCAGGCCAATGCCTACACCTTCTGGACCTACATGATGAATTCCCGCTCCAAGAACGTGGGCTGGCGGCTGGACTACTTTGTGCTCTCCAGCAAGCTGATGTCGGCACTGTGTGACAGCAAGATTCGTAATTCGGCGATGGGCAGTGACCACTGCCCAATCACCCTCCACTTTGCTGTGTAGCTCGCCTGCCTCTTTGGCTGGTTCGTCCCATCTCGTTATCTTTTACACGCTGAAAAAGATAGGCAAACCATTTTGGCCTTATCCTGCATAGCTTACTAGAACCTCACGCCCTTCGATGTTCTCTTTTTTCCCTTATCCATGCTAACGGCAACCATGCTGTTTTTTGTTTCGAAAACAAACAAATTAAATTTTGTTCTGTGTTTCTGAATAAAGTTTACGTTTTTAACAAAAGCAATGTTTTGGTGCATTTTGTGTGCATGTACTTGTGTATATTCCTAGATAGATATGAGGGGAAATCGCTGTGAAGCCATAAGTAATATCCTCCTAAGACCCGAGGAAAAATAGAATTTTTCCATAAATTGAGTGTTTGGTTGGTAAAATGCATATTGCATTCCGTGATGTCATCCTCTTAAAGTACTAACTGTCCTCTCTTACAAACAACAGAACTTAATATAGTGGTATGCATAGTATTAAAGATACGAGCAAAAACATAATGTTCTCTAAAGAGGACAAAATTGAATTGCTGGATTTCAGGAAAATATACCTTATTTAACTAAACAGATCACATCATGTAAAAATGATACATGATCAAATAAACGATATCACTACATAAGTGTTTGTTTAATGCAAGTATGTATGTACCCTTGTAGCAAGTGACCCGAAAGGATATCTTGAAGCAAGTTAAGTGTGTTAGTAATTCACTTGGTATCAACCATTACAAACAAACTCTCCTATCAGTTGTATTTGTTCACATTCAATGTGCATTTGGACTTGCATGCTCCCCTGTGTTTACATGTACTGCCATGGGATATTCTGGCTTTAGTCTGCCTTCCATAAATGTGAGGTTTAGTGAGTCTAAATGCACGAGAGTATGCCCTGTGATAGACTGGCCGCCTGAATAGGCTCCAAAATCAGCAGGCTATGTGAGAAAAGAAAAGGGCATCGATATTCATATTTAATCTCTGTTTCTGTGCCTCATGGCCGGGTTATTTCACTTGCTGAATTTTAAATGCATATTTTAACATTACCCTTTCTGAGATTTAAGTAGCATAAGTAGGTAAATGAAGAGAACTTCATGATTATGCTATGTGTTAATGTGTGATGGTGTGTTTTCATGGTATACCCTGAGCCCTGCAGTTAGTGTGAACCAGCCCCTACGGAAGGCTTTTAAGGCTCAAGGCAAAAGCATTGTTTACTGCCAGGTGTACAACAGTGAAAGTCTTACTTGAGTACTTGAGTGCTTCCTGAAAATGATAGTGCTAAAAAAACACGTCAATAAATATTACAGTCAAAAAAAGCAAGTAATTGGAAAATGACACTACGTAGCATTTCTACATGTAAGTGCATTTGGGGTAGGTGCTTGGGGGGTGTTAAAGTGTCACCTGGAATATATGCATCAACAAATTGAGGGGGTCTTCTTTAGTAGGGTTTGGGGGGGGGTTTGCATGCAGTGCTTTGTATAAAACAGTAAATAATTGGAAAGTACTTAGACCACATTTACTGCCTTTGCCTAGCATCTTGCTGGTGAATGTGCAGTCCATTGAAAACAAACTGCATGACTTAAAGGGTGGGATGAGGTACCAGCAGGAGATAATGGACTGCAACATTGTATGCTTGACCAAAATACTCTCTCAGTTCTGAACTGGAATATCCTACCTGCTGAGTTGCTTTCTGTTTTCCGCAAAGACAGAATAGATGAGTCCAGCTAATCTAAAGGAGGTTGTGTGTGTATCATTGTGAACAACAACTGGTGCGACAGCAAGAATATTACAAGCCTTTCTCACTCTTGCTCGGCTGATTGAAACAGCTAACAATAAAAAGCTGACCATTCTATCCTCCAGGGGAGTTCTGTTCAGTCCTGTTCATTTCTGTTTATATTCCGCCACATGTGAATAGGGATATTATAGAATTTGAGCTGTATAAAATTCTCAACAGTCAATTTATCAGTCTGTGTTATATATAGTGATGATGACAGTAATCATTATTATGAATATTATTGTTTTATTATCATTAGGATTATTATTAATGCTATTATTACTGTTATCATTTATGTTGATTTAAAATTATAATTATGTTATGTATTCTTGATCACTTATTGTTATTAATAATATCGTTGTTATTATAGCTGTTTTTGAGGTGTAATATAGTGGTTCTTAGGATCAGTGTGATGTTTTGATATATGTTTTATGTTGCATGTTTGTAAGTGTGTTTAAAAAATAGGAAGTACTCAGTCATCAAACTGGCAACTTGAATTTGGCCCTCATTGTGACCAGGGACTTTAACAAGGTTAATCTGAAAAGAGTAATCACCAGACTTTTACCTGCACGTTGAATGTCCAATGAAAAGGAGAAAGAACACTTGATCACTGCTATTCGTTTCTTTCATTTGGAAGAACGAACCCCGCTTCCATTTTCCAAATATCAAAATACAAACAAAAGATGAAACGGCAAGCTCCAGTAGAGAAGAAGGTCATGCACTGGACGGCCTAATCAGAGGCAGTCCTACAAGACACACTGGATGATGTCTACTGGGACATGTTCTGGCGCAATAACCAATAAATGGTGTTATAAAAAACAGCCTTCAGGTTTATTGTCAAGCTGCTGGAGTAGATCATGCCTAAAGTTAACATTAAGATATTTCCTAAACAGAAGCCTTGGGTGGACAATACAATTCGCAATGTGTTGAACGCACTGCTGCCTATAATGCAGGATTTAAAAGCTGCTCCATACAAGCTACAGTTTGCGGTGAAGGAAGCAAAAAGATGGTACGAGGAGAGGGTGGAAAACCAGTTTGAGCAATCCGATTCAAAACGCGTGTGGCAGAGTCTTTGGACAATCACAGACTTTAAAGGGCACCATGCTGCAGCAAACATGACCACAGTGGTAACGAACAAGCTGAATACCTTCTATGCGCACTTTGAGGCAAACCACAACATTATTGCTAACCAACAGATCAGCGAACGGAATACAGAGACTACAGTACAGTGACATTATTGGATAGCAAAGTGAGAAGGGCGCTGAAGTTCTTACCAGGAACACAGCAGGACCAGATGGTATTCCTGGACGGGTTCTGAAAGCTTGCACAGACCAAGCTAGCTGCAGTGCTCATGACCATGTTTAAATCATCACTTTCCCAAGCCAAAGTACCAACTTGTTTAAAAAAGACCACCATCATCCCCAAGAAACCCAGCCCATCTTGTCCCAATGTCTATCACCAGGCTGCACTTACTTCAACAGTGAAGTGATTAATTGTCATTGTCGACACACCACGGCACAACAACGAAATGTGTCCTCTGCCTTTAACCCATATGTGACATAGCAGGGGGCAGCTGATTCAGCACCCAGGGAGCAGTTCTTGGGGGCAGTACTTTGCTCCAAATACCTCAATAGTACTTTGGCGGTCGTGGATACAAACCAGGCATCTGTCAATTACAAGTACATTTCCCTAACCAATAGGTCACCACTGCCCACCGGTAATGAAGTGCTATGAGACTAGTCAAAGATCACAAAGTTCCACACTGCCTATCACACTGCACCCACTACAATTTCCTTACTGCAAACAGATCCACAGACGACGCAGCAGCTCTTATCCTGCACACTGCTCTACACCACTTGAGTAACAGGTAGGGGAACTACATGTGGTTCCTTTTCATTGATTGATGCTCCTCAATTAACAAAATAATCCCTAATATGCTCCTTGGCAAGTTCAACGGCTTGGGACTGAGCATCACTCTATGCAGCTGGGTCTTGGACTTTGTGACAGGAAGACCCCAGGTTGTCTGAGTAACCGGGCACAAATCAACAAGCATCACCCTCAACACAGGAACTCCCCAGGGTTGTGTGCTGAGCCCCCTGCTGTACTCCCTTTACACACGTTTATCACTCCATATAATAATCACACATCATTGTACTAATGTTAAACACTACTCTCTGTTTTTATTGTCTGTTTTACAGTATTTTTTTTATTGAGTGCTATTTCTATTGTTCTTATTTAAATTTATTCTTATTTAAAAAGTAGGTGAAAAAGCATTTCCCTACACACTAATTCAGTGCATGTGGCAAATAAAATTTTTAAATCAAATAAGCAACATGTCTGCCTTTTTTAAGAGATCAGTATATTAAAAAATTACAGCCTGCAGTCCAGCAGCATTGGTTCATGGGATGCATGTCCTGTTTAAAAAATACAAATACTAAACAAAATCCAAGATGTATTAACCTGACTGTCACCCGGGCCAGACATAAGTGTAAGCAGCCACCTAGGGCTGCCAAAAACAAGGGACCCCATGAAGACAAAATTTCCAAAAGTAACATAATGTGAACATTTAAATCATAGCAACATGTCTGATAGTAGTACTTTTAGTGACAGTTCCCCCACCCCCTCCCCCCATCTAGGCTGTAATGGACTTTCAGATTTCACACTACCCAGGTTTCTTTCCACATTCAAGCCCAGTGACAGTGGTAGTGAGTTCAAGTTTCACTGCCAAGCAAACTGCAAAGAGTAGCCTAACAGAAAAAGAAAATGGTGCAAAGATGCAAGACTAACATTTTTTCTCCTTTGTCTTTGATACTAATAGTAGACACATTGTGAAAAGGCATGGAGAGAACACAATTAAACGAATAAATCAAAAATTCAAGACTAACGTTCAGGGGTGGAGGAAGGCGCAGCCTATACAAGGCTGCAGCCTCGGGGTTCGGCTGTTCTGAGCAGCATTTCTTGTGTATTCTTCCTTGTTTTATTTTGTTTGGCACTTAAAGTTGTCAAGTGCAAAAAAAAGTGATTTGCAGGAATCAGCAGTATTCACCATTAGAACAATGAACAAATTCAAGAAGCAGTTTAAGTTAAAAAAATTAATATTTATTTCAGCATTCAGCCAAATCATCTGTTGTCCTGTGGAGCAGGTCATTTAAGAGTTTTTTCTTCACCACTACTGGCACCTCATATCAAGCCTGGTGCACACATGTCTTTTCATGAAACTTACAATTGTGCCCAAGGTGGCAGGGACATGATTTTTGAGGAGGATGTTTCTGAGCACTCTTGGCAGGTTGAAGATTGTTCAAAGTCATCTGACAGTTCAGCTTCCAGTGTGGTTTACAAGTATGTACAGTAATACTTGTTAACCAGGTCCAGAGATAATACAGTATAACATTCAATCTGAATATTAACCATCAATCAATATATGTACAATACAGTTTACTATTTGATATTGGTAAACTAGCATTTCGCACATTTAT